TTCCTGCCTCTTTAAACTGCCAGTGAACTCCAGATTTCGTTATCCGGCTGAGTGCTCTTAGCCTTACCCCCTTCGTTCAGGGGTTCTGTGCCTTCTTCGTGTTTTAAACAGATTGGTTTTTTGTTGGATGCTTTCCCCCACAGAAGGAAGGCCTTGTGTTGCCAGTTTCTTGCTAGTTCTTCCCATTGTCTTTGAATTCCACTGATGCATGTCTCCTTTCCAAAATTAGCTGAAACAAAGCTGCTCAGGCTTGTTAAGTTGGGCGCCTGTACGTAGGAGCAGGGGTTTCAAGGGGCTTCTTTTATTTTTTTTTTGGGGGGTATGTTGTTTTGTTTTGGGGTTGTTGGTTTTTTTTTTTTGTTTTGGGGTTGTTGGTTTGGTTTTTTTAAGCTTCTTTCGGACAGATTTTGGTAAATCCTGCACCTTTTATATTTCCTGCATGAATGCTTCTGTATTAGTCAGTGTTCAGGGGGACAGGATTATGGATGAGCTTCTGAACTCATGTGCTGCAAATTCTTGCTCACTGAACAGGCACTAAAACTTGAAGAAGTGCTTTTAGATCAGTTACCCTATCTGTGTAATTAACTGTATGATCTGTAGGATAAGGCTCAAGAGACTCATTTTAAAGGATATGGCATCTGCAGTACGGAGATGGAGATACAGAATCTTCCTGTAAAGCTTTTATTAGTTCTGAACTGAAACAGAAGTATTACGTAGTTTTATGTCCCTTTCTCTGCTTGTAGCTAGAACATTTGTTTGTCATTGCTTTGTCTATGTCCCTTTCTCTGCTTGTAGCTAGAGCATTTGTTTGTCACTGCTTTGTAGCTTGTGACAAAGCCTAGTACTGATTTCCCCTGCTACCTTCAATAGTGTAGTAATGCCTGTGATGTTAGTGTTACCCGTGGCTATGAGCATGGCCCAACTTCTTACGGGCCAGGCTTTCATCAGTACTTCCCATGCTCGCTGTTCTTCTCATTGTATGAGTTCTCAGGATCAAAAATGGAAGTATTTCCTGCTGTGTGGAAGCTGAACACTAAGCCATTGCACAACCTGAACTGTTTTCCTGTTTCTATTGTGTATCTTGAAATTGGGTATAGATCATGAACTAGGCTTTGCAAAGCCTTTGCGTTAAAAATGCGTATAATCGAGGATTTCCATTTTTGCCCTTGGAATGCAGACCTGTGTAAAATGGAATAAATTTACTTTGCAGCAAGCAAGTAGCCTTATGTAAATTGATTGTTCAGGAGGTGAAAAGTTCAGATCAGACCAGGCTTGTTGCACTGGAAGGAAGTGAAGTTCAACCAGGCCAGTGAGGCAAGTAAGCTTGAAATAAGGTTAGCCTGGGTCATGACTGTTACACTCTTTGCATCCTAATGAAGGAAAAGAAGGGATCATATAGAGAATCCACTACAGAAAAGATTGAGGAGGACTGATTTTGTTGAAAGTCTTTTGAATGCTGAGGCAGCAGATTATGAGTTTTGACGTCTGGGTTTCTGAAAACTGAACTCATTCTTGTGGGGAACAGTGCCCTCCTCAAAATGAAACTTTCAGGCAGAATCCCGAAGTTATTGATGTCTGGATGCCGCTTTTTATTGTACAGGATTTAGTCTACTTAAGGAAAAGTTACTAGGCCAGACTTCCAGTAAATGCTGAGTGTTCAGTGAAGTTACAGCAAGAATTCATTTCACTTTGAAGTAGCTGTCTTCCTGAAGAAGGCCTGTCAGCCAGCATCATGTACTTGAAGTCTTAAAATGAGTGCCATGTTCATCATGGTTTTTCAACTTGGTTTAAAATTTGTGGAAATTAATTTTTTATTGAGTAAAAGGGAGTGGTCCATATTTTACTGGGGGTGGGGCAGGTTTTAGCCACAGCTGTTCCTTGTTGGTTTGTCTACCTGCTTTTGCAAGTAGCTTTAAGAAACAAAGACACTTCAGTTGGGGGCAGCTGTTTTATTTTCATGAGTTGTCTTATTCAAATATTTATTAGCTACTTCCACCATTTCAGGTGTCACAGTTAAACTCATTCTGTATCTGTTCTTCTTAAGTTGTTAATTAATGCAGAGGAAAGTTTCCTGCTCTTAATGAAAAAAGTCCCACTTGCTTCTCACATACTTGGTCAGGTCCTTGGAGCAGGTCTTTAACACCCTCTTTATTGTTGGGACTGAGAGGTAGCTATGGTAACCTGAGGTGTTGGTGAAGCTGAAGACCCAGAGGGCAAGTTTGCACTCAACCACACCTATGAAGTGGTCCTTAACTTTTTTTTAAAAAACATGCCTGTTGGGAAAAGCTGGAGTCCTGCTGTTACAATGCTATTGTCCTGCCTCCATGCCTAAGGAGCAGGAAGTGTGTGTATAATGCCCATGACAATGTGTCAGCTCAAGGAAGTTTTATGTTGGCAGGTTGTACAGCCACTTGCAGGGAAAGATACAGAGTGATTTCTTTCAGTGATGGATATTAGATCTAATGGTTACATTTTCCGCCTGTGCAGGGTGTTTTAGCAGATGATGCTTTGTTCTTGGTTTTCTAAACCATGAGCCTGTGCCACAGTAGCTGTGGTGGTCTTTGTGTCAGTTGGGGGTGGGTAGCTAGCATAGTAAACACGAATGAAGTTCGCAACCTGGTGGTTAGTTTGATATGCATGAGGAGAATTGGCTGGCTAGTTTTGCTCCAATTCCTTTGTGTCAGGAAAAATCAATCCTGGAGCTATTTGCTTGGAAAAGCAATGGCATTGCACAACTTGCTGGGAAATCAGGTACAGACCAACCATGAATAAACAACCCTGTGGTGAAACGTAGCCCTCAAAACTGCTGGGCATCCATGAAAGCAGAGGTTGTGCCTGCTGAAACCCCCTGAAAAGCAGCAGGGCAGTCCTGCAGGTAGATTCACTTCAAGGGTGAGCAAGTGTGCAGAGGCAGCAACACAGGAGGCATTGTCCACTTGCAAATAGTGCTTTTAGCTGCTTCAAAGATCAGATGGAACAGTAATAGTTGTTAAAGAAATCTAATCCAGGTTTGGACTACTGTTGTGTGATAAATGATCTCCTGTGATCTCTTCTCCTCATCTGGAGCTTTAGTATTTCAGTGGTACATAAAGTTAACTTCTAATTAAAAGGAACATACCTTCTCCAAGAGCCTATATTCTTTTCTGAGAGCATATATGCTTATTTTTTATGCCTTTTTCTAACATAAAAATAGCTATTGCAGTTTAATGGCATAAGTTTTTCCATGGTGAGATTGTTCCTGTGGTCTGCTGCTGGTCTGAGAAAAGTGGGATTTGTTTTGTTCATTTTTTCATACCTGGATGCTACATATTTATCATCCTTAACTTTCAAATTCTGGGTGAAATGAGAGTATTTTGAGAATTCTTGTCTTGAATAAGTGACATACATGTACACGATTTGTTGTCCTACTGCAGCAACTCCTGTCAGCTTAGTCAAAAGCCAATTAAAGTCAAAAGCAAATTAAAGAAAATAGTTTTCAGCAAGAAACTTTAATATTTCCCTTTGTTCTCCCCCTTTGCCCCCCTCTTTTGCCCCTTCTTCCCTAATCCTGGGACTCCCAGTGGTCAAAAGGGCCTTAGCTTTGTTGTTCAACAGGATTCATTTGGGGTGATGTATTTTCATTACTTGTTCTGGAACTGAAATTCCTTTAAAGTCATTCAAGAAGATCTGGTTGCCTTGAAAGACAGTAGTTTGATTTTTTTTTTTTTTTTTTTTTTAAAAAAGTTTAAAGGAACACATGAAAGATCAAGTATTTTAGAAACCATCTCAAATTCTAAGCCAACAAAGAATGAACCAGTTAAAATGTCCTAGCTTCACATTTCACGTGCTGATTTGGCTTCAGGAATCTGGCAAATCTGCTTTCTCCTTGAAAGGCCCCTTCTGGACCAGCAGTTTTGGTCTCCTTAACTCAAAGGCCTCCCCAAAAGCTGTTTGAAAGAAGCTCTCACTCCATTTTTACTTTTTTTTTTTTTTAAAGAAGCGTATCTTGAGTCTGCCAGGTGCATAGGAGTGAGTTTTTATAGGACTCCTGCAACAGTCACTTTATTTTACACTCACTGCAGCCTGATGCTGATCCAGAGCAGAGTGATGGATGCTCCTGTGAGTGGAAAGGCTCCTTAATGAATTGCAGGCCTGAAACATCACTGTAATTGAAAGCAAGATCTATGGAGGTGGCAGAGGTGGGATGGAGCAGTCAGGAAAGAAGCCTAATTTTTAAATGCTGCCTCCAAACCACCTTGGTGCTAATGAAATTATAACATTTGGGTTTATAGCATGGATGTCTGTTTATTAGACATTCAGACAGGCAGCATGTAGTGTTACATACATGTGGTGTAACAGGTCTAGTGAGTGAGGGTACAGGGGTACATAAATGACAGGTAACATCTGCTTTTTGGTATAAGACACCTAACTTTTCCAACTGCAAGTTGTTACACTTGAAGGACTGCTGTTCTGCTGTATGATGAAGAGCCTCTGTTTGAATTTAGGTGTCATCTGTGCGCCCAACAAAACACATTTCAGCAAGATACCAGTGTACCTTGATGGTGACTATTATATAGATCCGTATGTGTTAATTCTTATGTCCATTTGGTTTGTTTGCCCTGAAATGTGAAATAGATGTTCACACTTTACTGAAATATTGATACTGTTGGCTGGTGTAGTGTGGACAAAAATGAAATGGTTGAACACACGAGTCCAAACTCATTGTGAACTGAGGTAGCTGTCACTGTGTGGGGAACAGAAACTAATCTGTGTAGGTACTATTTTTAACCACCTTTTAACCATCTTTAATCTAGTACTGTTACTTCAGTGTTAAACTTGACACAATCTAATCTATATAATGCATTTTGACTTTTCCAGAATCTGTTACAAAAGAAGCTGATGATGATGATGATGATGAAGATGAAGATGATGAAGATGATGATGATTCTGTAGTTAAAGAAGAAAATGATGTATTTATCTTGAATGATGCAAATTTTGACACCTTTACTGAAGACAAGGATACTGTTCTGCTGGAGTTCTATGCACCATGGTGGGTTCACAGTGGTTCCTCATAAGGTGCAGGATGAGATGCCTGTTGAGGGCTTCTCTGACAGGACAAACTCCTAAAAAGGGAGCTTGGATTGCAATTTTAAAGATGACATAGGAGTTGCTTGCAGGAAGTGCACTGAACTCTGCTATAGTCCATGTAAGGAGGTGGTTCTAGTGGTGTGGAGGTACCCTTTTTCCTGCCCCAGTACCATGCAATAGCCGACAGCCTGCTGCTTCTCCACAGATGTGGGTCATGTTGGCACATCCCATGCCAAGGGAAGTACAGCCTTGGTTCTGTCCCTGCTTTGTGCCTGTCAGGGAACAGAAATGGTCCCAGTGAGCCTGCTATCATCCTTGTGCTGGACCACTGAGAATTTGTGCACTTGCTCATCTAGATGGAGGAATGAAGGAGATTTCTCTAGTAATGGATTTGCTTTTCAAATTTGCATTCCTGTCCTTGCCAGAAGGGTGGGCTGTGATTCAGGACATGGCTTGTTCATTTTATCAATTTAAGCAGTGCCTCATACATCTACTTAATGGTGATAGTTCTCTGGCATCCCAGGGTGCACAGTGCCACTAGTCTGTTCAGGGGAGCTATAATGGGTTTACCTGCATGTAACCAAGACAAAGACTTTAGTCCAGAATAGATGTTCTCTTGCATTCTTATGGACAAAAATATTAGAGATGATTAGTGGGGGAAAACAAGAGTAGAATATATTTTCAGTCGAGTTGCTGAATTAGGGTTGCAGCCAGAACCTCTTTTCCTTTGTGACTTAGTGATACAATGACTTACTCATTTGTCCTTTGAATAGAGGCGGGGCACATGATCTTGCTTGAGTTGGAGTTGCATTTTAACTAGTGCCATTCTTGTTGCAGAGAATCCTGTCCCTACTTGGCAGTAGGTACTAATTCTGCAGCTGTAGTTTGCCTGCAGGAAAACTAAACATGAAGCTTAAATTGAGCAGGAGGATGGATGTGTGGTCATCATAGATGGAAACACCTTTCCTTTTCTCCACTCCCCCTCCTGCCAGTTTTGAGCTAGTTTTAAGGAGTATAGGCTATCCACCACACACTTCCTCTTTTCCTTCATTTTCCTGGTTACATCTTCTTCTTGTCAAGCTATATTCACCTTTTTCTATGCTGGTATCCTGTCATGCAGCAGGAGCCTTTGTTCTTCACAGGTGCTGTGATACTGTGGTGGGTGTGAGATTTTGTTGGGCCAATTTAACTGCTGGTTCATTTTTCTCTTTAGTTCAGTTTAGGATGTTGGGTAGAGAGGGTGAACCTAGATTATGGAGAATCTGAAATTGAACTGAGATCATATTTGCAGGGGAAGGAAGGAAGAGCACAGTACCAGGTTTACAATTCTGTTGTAAAAGTAGTTGTTGAATGTTTTTTACAATGGCTTTATAAAACATATGGAAATGTGCTGCATGTTGAATGAAATTTTCACAAAAAGGTTGGTATTTGAACAAACAGCACATTAGCTATAGTTACTCTCTATCTTTCCATGATCTGAAAACACAAACATTTCTGTGTTGATGATGTGAGCATCTGTCAGAAGGCATCCTGGAAAGACAGAGTAGCAAAATACCTCTGTGTCTGTCATGCATTTATGTATGTATCTCCTTGTGTCTTCCTCTGACAGGTGTGGACATTGCAAGCAGTTTGCTCCTGAGTATGAAAAGATAGCCAAAACTCTGAAGGAAAATGACCCTCCTATTCCTGTTGCCAAAATAGATGCTACCACAGCCACATCCCTAGCAAGTCGTTTTGATGTCAGTGGCTACCCAACCATCAAAATTCTGAAGAAAGGCCAACCTGTTGACTATGATGGTTCTCGGACAGAAGATGGTAAGCATCAGTCCTTTGTGGTTCTCTGTAAGAAAGCAAAGTGACATTTGATCCTGCTTTTTAATGCGTGACTATTTTGAAGGACTTTGATCCCAAGTTACTTCATCTTAAGCAGAATAATTTTATGAAGGCTGAATTTTTGTCTGTTTTCTCAACTGGCTGCATGCTAGAGGAAAATTTTGCAGGTAGTGGATAGTGCTCTTACTGATGGAAGGTTTGTAGAAATATGACTTGACTAGAAGAGAAGGCAATCTCATGCTTGCTTGAGGGATCAGCTAATGAACATCTTATCGATATATTCACTGTATATAAACCGACTTGTTTTATCCTTAATTAATGTATCCAATGTCAAAGGGGAAAAACTGCCTTTCCTGTCTGTTTTGAGATGGAATTTGTGTGCTATGGTGATGCAAAGTACAGATCTGTGCTCTGCATAAGTAAGAAGCTCTATGGGGTAAAGAAAAAACCTTCTTGACAATACCAACAAGGAAATAAAGCATAATAAAGGAGCTTGATTATGAAAGTGTTATCATGTAAGCTTGATGGGTAAGCATTGGTTCAGGACCATGCTTGAAACTCTGATTTTAAATACTGGATATCATCTCTTGCATTTGATATGCTACTGGTATGATAATGCAAGCTTGCTAATTGGGTTATTGAACTGTGTTTCAGCAATTGTGGCCAAAGTCAAGGAGGTTTCTGACCCCAATTGGACCCCTCCACCTGAAGCTACTCTGGTATTGACCCAGGATAATTTTGATGACGTCGTGAATGATGCTGACATAATCCTGGTAGAGTTCTATGCTCCATGGTAAGCAAGAAGGCAGTCACCTGTACTTGCTTAGCACAGCTGGCCTGAACATGCTTGGTGTACCTGTTTTCTGTTATGTCTCTTAAAGAGGCTTCTCTTGTGCAGGTGTGTATGGCTCTGGTGTTCTAATCTGGACCTGGCACTGTGTTGCACATCACTTGAAGACTAGATTGGGTCTATGTCTCAGCAAAGGGTGGTGTCCAAAACTTCACTGAAGATTCTCCTTATTTCCTAATTTGAGAACATGTTGAGATACTGGAAGAGTTGGTCCTTAGTTTAAAAATGAAACTACCTATAGTAGTATGAGGTTAGGCATAGAAACTAGTTTAAGGTTGGAGAGACACGTGTTCCTATGCTGAAGTGTTCTCTGTAAATTCAGTAACCACATAGAAGAAGGTAGATAGTAGATATGTCCATTGGTAGAAGGTACCTCATGGCTTGTAAAAAGTGCCCTCTGCTCTCCTTCCCTAGGTGTGGACACTGCAAAAGACTTGCTCCAGAGTATGAGAAGGCTGCGCAGGAGCTCAGCAAGCGCACACCTCCTATCCCCCTGGCTAAAGTCGATGCCACTGCTGAAACTGAGCTTGCAAAGAAGTTTGATGTTACTGGCTACCCAACTCTCAAAATCTTCCGCAAGGGCAAACCTTATGACTACAGTGGTCCACGGGAAAAATATGGTAGTGCAAATTCTGCTTTTTCTTGTTTTCCGAGGGCTTGACCACAAAGATTTTGATGGATCTGTAGGATCTGCAGACTTGTTAATGTCCTAGCAGTGGTAGTTGGGCAATCTGAAATATTGTGCTCTCATACCTACATAGACCAGCAATTTAAATTTGTCTCTAATTTTTATAACACCTAATTGTGGTACTATAAGCTCCTTTTAATAGAAAGTAAGTTAAATACACATGGTGCAGCAGTGGCAGTATGAGTACGTGGGCAGTCTTTAATTGCACTGGAATGCACCATAAGGGCTGGCAAAATACTCAATATTAAGTTTTAGTAAGAGAGAAGACTTAAGACTCTCCAAGTAGGGCTTTGGCTCAGGAGACAATGAAGGGTCTGGAATTTCAGAAAGATTACTTGCAAGATCAGATGATATCCATGGATCTTCTGCTTGACCACTGCTTAGCTGAAACCAGCCTGGAAGAGAGTGTCCAAAACTGCAGCTTTAAAAACTTGGACTGAGGTCTTGCTGATTTGGTCTTTAAGTTATTGTGGGAAGGCTGCGCAGAAGGAAAGATGTCCATGGGAAATGTGGCATTAAACCATGTTGTAGATGGAATGCCTGAACCTTTCAGTTGAATAAGTATTCTAAGCAACTATTTGGTGGCCGTTTTGTCTCTCAGGTATTGTTGACTACATGATTGAGCAGGCTGGTCCTCCATCCAAACAGATTCAGGCTACCAAGCAGGTACAGGAATTTCTGAAGGATGGGGATGATGTCATCATCATTGGTGTCTTTAGTGGAGAGAATGACAAAGCCTATCAGCTCTATCAGGATGCAGGTAAAGAATGTTTTAAAATATTAATGAAGTGTATGTTTTGTTGTGATTCTACCTAGGGCTTTGGACATGGGGAGATCATTTATCTCTCTGCTTAGTTCAGTGGGGGAGATTGGAGAGGAATAAAAGGCAGTAGGTGGAAAGGTAGTCTTCTACTTGTACTCAAGAAAAAAGCTCACACCAGATTTTGAATCTGAAACTAAAGTATCAGCCTGTCACAGAAGATACCTTCTCTTGGTGCCGTGTCTCTAAAAATGTGTGAACTAGAGAGCAGGGAAAATTCCTTCCTGATGAGCAAATCACAACTTCCTGGCTTAAAGCTAGCTGTCTTTGCTGTCCATTACTCTTTGTTACATATCTGACAGTTCCAAAGACTGGGCTTTGCCAAACTTGTTTGGAGTGGGAGGCCTGGAGAAAGAATCATCATCCACCTCTGGATCAGTTTAAATGTTACCATTCATGGCAACATTTATTCTTAAAAAAACCCATAATGTGACACATTGGTGCTCCTCTTAATATTTTCTGCCATGGAGAAGAAGCTAAGCACTTGAAGTGCACTGTCCCTGTAATCATTCCCTCTATTTTCCATGATCATACTATTCACAGGCACTTTTGGTTGCTGCAAGAACCTTGAAAGCAGTGTGGACAATTCTTCTCCCCCTGACTATGTCTGCTTCTGGGGCTGCTATCATTTATAGCTGGATTAGGAGCTAATTTGGTTGTTCCAGCATGGCAAGATACAGAACTGTTTCCCAGAATGTCTCAAAGCAAATAGATGGGCTAGGGTGATATATCTGAGGGGAAGCAAAGAGGCAGGAGACTGATAAAAAAGATAGCTGTTTTGCTGTGTTTGTTTTGAAAGCTGTTCAAGGTTTTTTGAGTATATAGAATAACTCATCAATAAATGGATTGCTGAACAGCATTCAAGTAGTGCTACTGGAACTATACATGTATTCACATGTTTCTTACCCTCTGGTTGAGAGCTGTTGCCCAATACTGGGTTGTTCTATATCTCTTTGCAAATAAGAAGAGTTTCCTTGTAGTACAATATCAGGATTTGAGTTGGAGGCTGTCCGTGCACTTCTTGATGACTTTTCATTCACCCTAACCTTAATTTTTCAGCTAACGGTTTAAGAGAAGATTATAAGTTCCATCACACCTTCAGCAATGAGATTGCAAAGCTATTGAAAACATCTCCAGGAAACCTGGTTGTCATGCAGCCAGAAAAATTTCAGTCAAAGCACGAGCCCAAGACACGCGTTCTGAATCTGAAAGTGAGTATCTGATCCAGATCTAGAAAGTTTGTGTGTGGATTGAAGGTTCTCATTCGTTGTGTTTATGATCAGTTGGCACCTTCCCTTTGGAAGTACTCTCACTAGAATTTGAGGCGACCTGTTTGTCTGCTGAAATTGTATGCTTTATTTGAGAAAACTTAATGAAATTAGTCCAGGTTGATACCTTTTAAACTAATAATTTAGCATTGCAATATTCAGTTTAAGGGTAGACCATCAAGTTACCTTTAGTGCTCAAACATTTGAATATAGTGACAGCATTGTTTTTATAACATACCCCTCTTTCTCATTCATTAATTTTCAGTAGTGTGTAACAGATACGGAGCTTAAATCTGTCTGCCTGAATTTTTTTCCCAATTTTTTTAACCAGGATTCCACAGATGGATCAGAGATCAAAGAGCATGTGCTAAAACATGCTTTACCTCTAGTTGGTCATCGCAAGCCTTCCAATGATGCTAAGAGATATGCTAAACGTCCTCTAGTGGTTGTCTATTATTCTGTGGACTTCAGTTTTGACTATCGAGTTGGTAAGTTTGCTACAATTACCATTCCTCCACTTTGAGAGGAAGCAGGCAGTAAGTAACTAGAAATCACTAATCCTGTTGTGTTCTGTTTTTTTCAGCTACTCAGTACTGGAGAGGCAAAGTCCTGGAAGTGGCCAAAGACTTCCCTGAATATGTGTTTGCTGTTTCTGATGAGGAAGATTATTCTTCTGAAATAAAAGATTTGGGCCTGCTTGAAAGTGGAGAGGATGTCAATGTTGCCATTCTGGATGAAGGTGGCAAAAAATATGCCATGGAGCCAGAAGAGTTTGACTCTGATGTACTCAGGCAATTTGTGCTGGCATTCAAAAAAGGTACAGTCTTTGTTGCTTGGACTATGCTGTGACTTGTAGCTGTACTGTAAAACTGAGCATGTTTTGCAAGCCTAAAATGTTCCTGTGGCTTTGAAGTGTGAGCTGATTGTTCATATTTGGGACTACTGTAATAAATCACTGGTTAGTACCTTACGGATGTATGGCCATAAAAGGAGGGAGAAAAGTTGCAGGAAGTTGCAAAACGAATTGTTGCCCATGAGGTTATTGGGTTAAAAGGTCTCCAGTAAACTAGCCTGTGTTTCATGCAGAAAAGTTCATTTGCTGGTGCACTACTTTTCCCTGGTGGGTGGGTCTTCTGCCCTCACTTGAGAGGGGATTGTAAGGACTGCTCTTACTGTATTCTAACAGTGGTGTGTGCTTTGCTTCCTCCTAGGAAAACTGAAGCCTATTGTGAAGTCCCAGCCAGTGCCAAAAAATAACAAAGGGCCTGTGAAAGTGGTAGTGGGTAAAACTTTCGATACCATAGTAATGGATCCCAAGAATGATGTTCTTATAGAGTTCTATGCCCCGTGGTGTGGACACTGCAAGAAATTAGAACCAGTGTATACTGAGCTAGGCAAAAAATACAAGAATGAAAAGAATCTAGTTATAGCCAAGATGGATGCTACTGCCAACGATGTGACGAATGATCGCTACAAAGTGGAGGGATTCCCCACTATCTACTTTGCTCCACGGGACAAGAAGAACAACCCTATTAAATTTGAAGGCGGGGACAGAGATTTAGAGCATTTGAGCAAATTTATAGAGGAGCATGCGACAAAACTCTCCAGAACAAAAGAAGAGCTTTAGATAAGATGAGGGTGGTGAAGGAAAAATTGTTTGTACATTGTAGTTAAAAGCAAGTTACTGACAAAACTTTGTGAGAGAAGAATTAAGCAGTTTGAGCAAGGAGATTCTTGAGCAGTAAAGCAATTGCAGTATCTTTTTTTTTTTTTTATATGGCAGAAGAGGAGCAAGGAGATTCTTGAGCAGTAAAGCAGCAATTGCAGTATCTTTTTTTTTTTATATGGCAGAAGAGTTTTTTTTCTGGACACTGAACTTATTACTCTAATATGAATGTCTTATGTTAGTTATGGTTTTGATCTTTGGAGAAAAATACATCCTTTATTTTTTGTGACTATCCTGAGCTTTATTCTTTGACTTCAATGCAGCTGTTTCTAAGTTAAAAGATACTACCAAAAAGAGAGAAGCTGATCCCTCAGCCAAACAGATTTCTCTGTTACATTTGTTTTGTTATGATTACTGGGTTGAGCAGTTTTTTGAGCCAGTAGTTTCTGTTATGTTTCCATATACCTATTCATGTGACTGTGTCACTGTATTCATGGCTGAGGGTAAGAATGGAGGTTTTCTAAAGTGTGGATGAACTGTTTGGTCCTATTGAGATAAGACACAATGACTTGCTAACCATATGTGCTCTAGATGCATCTGTTTTAGCTTTGTGCCCCTCTGTAGAGAGGGTGATGCTATAATAGCAAGTTTTTCTAATTTACCTCTCTTTGCTAGTCCATATTCACACATTTGTATCTTAGTCTTCCTAAATATGTTTCCGAGTAATTGGAGTGTGGCAGAAGGAGCATCTAGTGAGTGGTAACACTTGGATTCTGTATCAGATCTGGGTGTTACTTCCTCCTTTCCTTTTGCAGAGAGGAACATTGATAATGTTTCTTCTTTGGGGAAGCTGACTGAGACCTTCTAATGGCCTCTATCCCTGTAGCAGGTACTGCAGTTACAAAGGATGATTGCATCTTCTCTGCTCCTCTTGGGAGTATGTGCATTTAAAACTGGATTTTTATCTTGAGTGTCCCAGGTTAGATATGCTCATAAATTTATGGGCCATGTTGAGGTGGCAGACTTACATATTCTAGAAGCACTGTCTGCCTCTTCTCAGAGCTGTGACAGTGTGCTGTGTTGCAGCTTGAGTGTCACTGAGGCAGTTTTGGTCCATATTTCATTTTGCAGGTAGTGCTTCTCCTAGCAGCACTGTTTTCTGTCTTGCAAAATATCATCAGTCTTCCTTCAGTAATTGCTTGTTGCGTTAGTTTTTAGCTTTTTGGAGGGTGTGCAAATCTAAAACCACCACACAATCTCATTTTCTTCTGGGGAGGTGCAGTCTTCTGTGTAGCAAGCATAAACCTGTGTCCAGGAGGTGGCTTTCTGAGGATCCAAAAAGGGCATGCAAGGGTGTATGTAATCCTTATGCTTTTCTATTGCATTCTGTGTCCCTGTTGAAGGGATGTGCTTCCCTGCTGCCTTAACAGGGGATTGTTCCCCACTGACTGTTAACCCACACAGCAAAGCGTGACTATCAAACTATTTATGAAGGCTTTCTCTTAATGGTTTAGCTGAAGCTAGTGAACAAAGCTCACCAGCAGATTATGAGTGAGGGGGACAGTATCAAACCTCCAGGGGAGTGCTGGGGTGTGCCTGAATGCTATTCAGCTCCTGTCCTTTTTCTGGAAGTGGTAAGCAACAAAGTGTTAAAGCTGTGTAATTGTTTGCTTCAGGCCCTGGCATTGTCAATCTCCTCTTTCACATTAGAGGGCTTTTTTCTCTACTGTCTTTAAATGTACAGATGTCTGTTAAGCTAGCCAGTATTTCACCTACAAGAATCTTACCAAGTGCATTATGTTCCCATCAATTGCCATTTCTGTTTGCAGCTTTTCTGTAGAGCCTTAAAGGCCATAGACTGTGCTAAATATGTTGTTCAGGCAACAGGAGTGAGATCAGACTTAGCTGAGCACCAGAGGTAACTTTTTTCAGCCTTAGAAAGTATACACGCAAACCAAGTAGCAAGTTCTGTCCTGTCTGCCAGTGATATCAACTCAGTTCTTCAAAGAAGTAGGAACAGACTTTCAATCGGTTCTTAAGACATAGATCAGGTTCTATCCCTAAGCAGATACCTCATATAATGCTGCAGGGAGCTAAACTGCTGCTGCTTGTTAGTTAGTTGCTGGTTTATAGGGTTTTATTCCAAAACAGATGCTGTCTAACCAACAGGAGGATATGGAACATGCAAAAGGAAGGGTGAAAACCTGCTTATTGATGGTAAGGGCTACAGTCAGGGCTGAAGCTCCATTTTTCTTGGGACAGTATGTGTTAAAGTTGAGTATGAGTTTCTCACCTCTCTTCTCACAGGTGCTAAATTA